TTAATATTTTTTATTTTATCCTAACATCCATAGTATTCTTTGTACAACCCGATAATAAAAAAAATGTTTTTAATTTTTTGTAAAAAAAATAAGTATCTTGCAGTTACGCTCCGCCCCTTTAGCTCACGGCGAATAAAAAAAATCACCACAATTGAGACAGGGCGGGTGGGCGGGCTTACGTTTTGCCTTTTTGTTTTAATACATGTAGTCATCTTTTCATAACATGAAACTTGAAACATGTTTAAAATGGTAAATTTGTGTAAAGAAATATCGATTTTGCAATTAGGCTCCGCCCCATAATTACAAAATCCATATTTCCTTACAAAAATGTACCATTTTAACTATGTTTTAAATTTGTTGTGGTGAAAAGATGGCTATGTATATTAAAGAAAGAAGGCAAAATATAAGCCCCGCCCACCCGCCCTATCTCAATTCTGATGATTTGTTTTTATTCGTCGTAAACCCAGAGGCGGGGCTTAATTGTAAAATCGATGTTTCCCTATACAAATTTACCATTTTAAACATGTTTTAAGTTTCTTGTGACTATGCATATTAAAAAAAAAAAGGCAAAATATAAGCCCGGCCCAGTCGCCCTATCTCAATTGTGATGATATTTTTTATTCGTCGTAAGCCGGGGGCGGAGATTAATCGTAAAATCCTTGTTTGTCTACACAAATTTACCATTTTAGGCATATTTTTTTTAAGTTTCTTGTTGAGAAAAGAAGACTACACATATTAAGAAAAAACAAGGCAAAATGTATGGTTAATGATTCAAGTTTAAAAAATTCTGTGATATTTTTCAAAATTTCCTAATTCTTTTGGGCTTGATGAACACCAAATATTTTTTTGAAACAATGTATTTTTACGAAAATTTTCAGACATTTGTTCCCTTCGCGGTCTTGTGATGGCGATCTATAAAAAAATATATTTATTAAAAATCAAAATATGGGAATGTCGGAGTCGGCCGAGTCCGCCGCCGCTTATCCTAATTTGGCTAATGCCCTATTAATCCCCTCCCGAAGGCAGCAATTTGTCAGGCATTTAATTAAAATAATTCGAAAGACAGCACAAAATTGGTCCAATTTAGATACAAACCCAGGTACGAGCCGGTGGCGACCGAAAAAAATAAAGTGGTATTTCGGGTAGTCCTTTATCGTTCGATCTACACCGAACCCGACCCGCTATTTGTTATTTAAACCGATAAACTCGCTCTATTAGTCCCAATTGATCGGTAATTTGAGTATTCAATCAATGCTCATCGGTTTCCCGGTCGCCTCGCGTCGGATTTTCGTAATAATCTACGTTATTTAATAACTGACACAACTATTTTTATTAGTCGCCTCCTTCCTCCTGCCTAAATTAATTAAAAGGCCCCCAAACCCGTTCCGAGCCCATAAAAAGCATAACTTTATGATTTACACGCAAGTGCGATACACCGGACCATCCGGCCTTAATTGAATTGAGAAATTTGGACGAGATCGAGGAGAGGCCGGCATTATTTTAGTTGACAACGACCAATATTGACAATGAGCTTTTACTCGACCGTAACCCATCTGCTGATAAGCAAACATGTGTCGGGCCCTAAATAAACTGGAAACGAGGAGAGCCGGAGGTATTGTCAATGGATGTTGCGTCTCTTAACCCCGTTTTGTCATGCAAATCGCGGGGCACGGTATTACCTTCGCCCTCTGGGCGATGCGGATGTGATGGGCTAATTTGAATTTGAACGTAAGGGACTAGTTGGAATAATGCGACAAGTTTTACATGGCTTGTGGCTGTTTGAACACTGTTTTTTTAACATCACATTAGTTTCAAATTTTACTTTAAATATCAAAATAATTTGCTACTACTTAAATGTTTTGGTTCGATTGATTTGCGGCACTCGGTTGGATTCATGTGGCAATATTTATTCTCGTGAGTAAAGAAGATCATTCCTGACACTGTGAATAATTAACTATTTTCGAACTGATTTTCTGTAAAATTTGGTTCACATGGAAAAGTGTAATTTTTTGTATTTCATGCAACCGATGTAAGTAAGAAATAAACATTGCCTTTTTAGTCGCCTTATTTTGTGTATTGTTTCCATCTTTTTAGCAATTTTTTGACAACCATTTTTTTACCTGAATTTTTGTAACTTTTTTTTGTTTTTATTGCCGTCCTTTTTTGTTCCCGTTTTGTCTTGCCTTTTTCTGTTTTGTCGGATTTTTGATGAACTTTTTGTCGCATTTTTTGAATTTTTGCTTTGTCGCTTTGTTTGTTGTTTTTTTAAAGCGTTTAAGTCACCTTTGTCTTTGACTTTTTTGGTTCTTTTTTTTTTAATTTTTGTGGAGCTTTTGTGCCGTTTTTTATTGTGTTGTTACCGTTTTTATCAAAACAAAAGATAAAAGGTCTTTTTTGGTCCCCTCTTTTTTTCCTCAATTTTTTGGCAACTCTTTTGTTTGTAACATTTTCTTGACGTTTTTTTTAGTATACCTTTTTATAGTCGTTCATCATTTTTTGGTGTTTTTTGAGTACCATTTTTAACCGTTTTTTTCGACACATTTTTGAGGAGTTTTTTCTTACCTCGTTTTTTTGGCGCCACCTATATATTTTTACGTACCCAAAGTTTATTTTTGAAACGACCATGCAACGTTGCCACGTTATTCTAATTTTCTTCAATTTGAAATTTTTTGGTAATGACAGAATTCACAAAAAAAATCACAATAAGGTTATTAAAATTTGTATTCCAATATTTTGTGGGTGGAAAGATGAATAAAAGTAGGCTTGCTGTGGTACCAATTAAATAAAATTTTAATATACAGAGTGTTCTCAAACGTTACATTTTTCAAATATCGATATTTCAGTTTGTTCAAGAGATCAGTCGTGTGTCTCTTAAAAAAGTAAAAAATCGGAGTACACTGTAAACAGTTATTAAAAAAATATTATCATTTTTTCATTAATTAACAGTTCTAAAATTTTGAATTTTTGAGTTTGGAATTTTTCAGTATTTAGATATGTTTATTTTTCCTTTTATCCAACATTTAATTTTTCTATTTATTAATTTTTAATTTTTCCACTTCTCTTTTTGCTATTGCAATTTTTTGAATCTACAATTTTTCGTTTTTTGAATTTTCGTATTTTTCAGTTTCTCGAATTTTAAATTTTTGAATTTTTTGTATTTCGAAAATGACAAAATTTTAAAATTAAATAAGCAAATAATGAAAAAATCGGAAAATTGAAATATTCAAATGTTGAAATATCGAGAATTTGAAGAAACCAAAAATCGAAAAAACAAAAAATCAGAAACTGAAAAATACAAAAATAAAAAATCGAAAAACTCAAAAAATAAAAATATCATTTTTGTGCCGCTTTTATGTTAGAAGTTTTTTTTTCGGATTTTTATGACCCTTTTTGACGCGATTTTTGTCCGTTTTTTTGACGTGTTTGCCGATTTTTTTCTTATTAACGTTTTTTTAACCTTTTTTGTGTGACTATTTTGCGGAATTTTTTGTTGGCTTTTTTTGGTCTTTTTGCCACATTTTTTAGAGCCCTTTTTGGTACTTCTTTCGTTGCGCTTTTTTCGTCGGCTTTTTTCTGCCGCTTTTTGTGTTATTAGTGTTTTTTTGGATTTTTATAGCCCCTTTTGTTCTTTTTTTAAGATTTTTGAGATTTTTGTTGTTTTTTTCTCGTTTTTTTTTTGCTTAAGTTTTTTTGTCGTTTTTTCTCAGTCTTCTTTTTAGCTTTTCTTAGACTCCTATTTTTTAACCGTTTGTTGTGGCGCATTTTCGAGACTTTTGTGTCGCCCTTTTTTTTTTGTTTTTTTTTGTAGCTCTTTATTTTAGAGCTTTTTTGGCTCGTTTTCTTTGGCGACATTTTTCTCTAGCTTTTATGTTACAAGTTTTTTTCGGATTTTTATGGTTCTTTTTAACCCGTTTTGCACAACTTTTTTGTCCCTTTTTTGTCGCTTTTCTTCGGTTTTTCCTTATTAATTTTTTTTACTGTTTTTTTTTGTGGCTGTTTTGGTAATTTGTCACATTTTTGAGCCCTTTTGGTAGTTCTTTTAGCGTGTTTTTGTCGGCATTTTTTTGCCACTTTTTGTGTTATCAGTTTTTTTTGGGATTGTTGTGGCCCTTTTTGTCCTGTTTTTGGTCAGCTTTTTTATTCCTTTTTTTTGTTCTTTTTGTTAGATTTTTGTGATTTTTTTGTCGTTTTTTTCTCGTTTTTTTCTGAGTAACATTTTTGTCGTCTTGTTTTTTCATCTTTTTAGCGTTTTTTGATTCCCATTTTTGAACCTTTTTTTTCGTGCATTTGAAAACTTTTTTGTCGCCTTTTTTTTGGTATTTCATGTTGCACTTTTTTTTTTGTAGTCCTTTTTCAGTCACTTTTTCTGTTGTCAGTTTTTTTTTCGGATTTTTATGTCTCTTTTCGTCTCATTTTTTTTGTCATATTTTCTGTGATTTTTTTGTCACGTTTTTTTTTATCATTCTTTTGTTATCAGGTTTTTAGCGCTTTTTTGTCTCTTTTTTTATTTCAAACATGAAATAAAGGCAAATTTTATATTATATATTTTCTCCGAAAACTCACTTTTTTTTCTAAAATTTTCAAATTTTTTCGGTAAATTCGGCCGATTTCAAATTGTTGGCACGGAACTTTCTTTTCCTGTGGTGTATTCCAAACACCTCAGTTAGGTCCAAAGCAAGTTTTCACTAAAAATTAATTTAATATATTTTTTTAAATGACGTCATCGATTTTGTCGTGATAAACCGTAGTTATTTCATTATCAAAATTTAAAATTTAATTTATCCTCTTAGTACAAAAACACTGTTGTCAATCCTTTAAACCTCTTTAGAAAAAAAAATAACCTCAAATTTTTTGCATAAATGTACCTAGGTACATAGCTTACAGAAAAAATTAAAACTCCACGCCCAAGTGCAGACCCCTGTTCCACTCCCACTCAATTCCACATCCCCACAACCCAACCACTATTCATCAAACCCAAATAAAAAATTTTTCTTTTTCAGGCTGTCGAGAAACCGCCTTCATCTACGCCATAACCAGCGCCGCCGTCACCCACGCCATCGCGAGGGCCTGCAGCGAGGGCTCCATCGACACGTGCAACTGCGAGACCCACTACAAGGGGCGGCCGCAGGTTACGGGGAATGCAGCGGTGGCAGGAGTTCGGGATTTCGAATGGGGCGGTTGCTCCGACAACATCGGCTTCGGATTTGCCGTCAGCCGCGAATTCGTCGACACGGGAGAAAGGGGGAAGACGATAAGGGAGAAGATGAATTTGCACAACAATGAGGCCGGCAGATGGGTGAGTAGGAACTATTACGACCGCAACGAATCCCCTCAAAAAGGGAATTCACAAATCGAAAAACGGGCATTCCGCAAACCGCCCAAACACAGAGTTGGCGGTTGATTTGGACCTGGAACGGGTTGGTTTGGCGCGGTTTGGCGTTCGCCAGTTTTTAGTAGATAGTGGTTGCTGTCGGTCGAAAAGATTTTGATATGTAGGTCAGTTCACGGAAAATAACACAGCGGTGCCAATGGAGCCCTGCAGAACTCCGAAACCCCGAAGACAAAAAACGTTACCATTGTTATTATCAAAACGCTGATATAATCGTAATCTTAATATCTACTAACAGATATTATTACCTATCAAAATCATTGTTCTGATTTAGAAAATATTTTTCATTTGTTTCCTGATTTTGATTATTTAATTGCTGGAGATTTTAATTTCACACTTATCTTGGAATAACAAGGTAAAATTCTTGTCAATGGGTTATCCTCAAGAACAGTATCAAGCTATTAATGATACTTAGGTACTCATTTTTAAATCTGAAGCAAGTCAATAATGATTTTTGACGGCAGTTTTCATCACATTCCCTATTTATGGCCCTCTACTTGTTTTTCTATATCAGAGACAGGTACATCAGAGGGTGAAGTAGTAGATTTTGATAATGGTAATTACTATATGCTGAATAATAATTATCTTGGGTCGATTAATTGAGATATTGAGTTGTCTGATCTTGACTTGAATGAAAATATACCCTCATTGGTTTAATAAGGATTTAATTAAATTGTCCAAAATGAAAAAAGCTTACCATTCTCGTTTCGAAAAATCAAGTAATTTTAAGGACTACCTATCTTTTAAAGATTTAAGATCTCAGTGCAAATATGCCAGTACTAAACTTTATAATTCACATATTAATAATGTTAATAATGGTTTATTAGATAATCCGAAATATTTCTGGAAATAAATTAATAATAAAAGAAAAGTTTCTTGTAAGATGTGTTTTTGAGTATCGTGTTTTTCAAAGAATACTACGCTATACCTATATCTGCCCTGATCTAAGTAATAATGAAGTTTTCATTGATTGCCAGGCCGAGGGGCGGCGCCTAATGCAAAATCCATATTTTCTTACAAAAATTCACCATTTTAAACGCGTTTTAAGTTTCTAGGAAAAAAAATCGTTACAATTATATTTATATTTTCCCTAGTTTTCTTAATATAGGTACATATTATCCTTTGAACAACACGACAAACATGTTTTTCACTTTTTGTAAAGAAATAAATATCTTGCAGTTAAGGTCTTCCTCCTTGGTTCATGGCAAATAAAAAAAATCATCACCAGTGAGAGAGGGCACCCGCAAAAAGGGCAAAATGTGTGAACTTCTTTTTACAAAGGCTCCGCCCCATAATTGCAGAATCTACATTTCCTTGCAAAAATGTACCATTCTAATCATGTTTTAAGTTTCTTGTTGTGAAAAGATGGCCATGTATTTTAAGAAAACAAGGCGAAATATAAGCCCCGCCCACCCGCCCTGTCTCAATTCTGATGATTTTTTTTTATTCGTCGTAAGCCAGGAGGCGGAGCTTAATTGCAAAATCCATATTTATCTAAAAAAAATATCATTTTAAACATGTTTTAAGTTTCTTGTAAGACATGTTTATGAGTTTCCTGTTATTCAAAGAATATTATGCTATATCCATACCTGTAACTTTTAGTTTTAACTTTTTTATGACGACTGCTTTGATCTAAATAGTAATGAAGTTTTCGTTCGTTTCCAGATCAAGGGGCATCACCTAACTGCAAAATCCATATTTTTCTATAAAAAATTTACTATTTTAAACATATTTTTAGATTCTAAGAATAACAGAAGTCATCACAATTGAGATGGGGTGGGTGGGCGGCATTTATATTTTCCCTTTTTTTTAATACCTATACATAGTAGGTATTCTTAAAAACAACACGATTCTCAAAAACACGCTTTTAATTTTTTGTAAAGAAATAAGTGACTTCAAATTAAACTCCACCTCCTTGATTCACGGCGAATAAAAAAATCATCACAACTGAGAAAGGGTGGGTGGGCGGGGTTATATTTTGCCTTTTTCTTTTAATATGTGAAGACTTCATTTCACAACATGAAATTTAAAGTATGTTTAAAATGGTAAGTTGTATAAGTAAATATCGATTTTGCAATTAGGCTCCGCCCCATAATTACAAAATCCATATTTCCTTACAAAAATGTACCATTTTAACCATGTTTTTAGTTTCTTGTTGTGAAAAGATGGCCATATATATTAAAGAAAAAAAGGCAAAATATAAGCCCCGCCCACCCACCCTATCTCAATTCGGATGATTTTTTTTTTATTCGTCGTAACCCGAGCGGCAGAGCTTAACTGCAAAATCCATAATTGTCTAAAAAATTTACCATTTTAAACATGTCTTAAATTTCTTGTAAGATGTTTTTGAGTATCCTGTTTTTCAAAGAATATTTTCTCTTTTTTTTCCAAATATACATATTATTCTTTGAACAACACGACACCAAAAACGTGTTTTTAATTTTTTGTAAAGAAATAAATATCTTGCAGTTAAGCTCCGCCTCCTTGGTTCACGGCGAATAAAAATAAATCATCACAAAAGAGACAGGGCGGGTGGGCGGGCTTACACTTTGCCTGTTTGTTTTATTATGTTTACACTTCTTTTCACAATATGAAATTTAAAACATGTTTAAAATGGTAAATTTGTATAAGGAAATATCTATTTTGCAATTAAGAGCCGCTCTATAATTGCAAAATCTATATTCCTTGTAAAAATGTACCATTTTAACCATGTTTTAAGTTTCTTGTCGTGAAAAGATGGCCATGTGTATTAAGGAAAAAATGCAAAATATAAGCCCCGCCCACCCACCCTATCTAAATTGTGAGGATTTTTTTTTCGTCGTAACCCGAGGGGCGGAGCTTAACTGCAAAATCCATAATTTTCTAAAAAATTTACCATTTTAATCATGTTTTAAGTTTCTAAGAATAAAAAAATCATCACAATTGAGATGGGGTGGGTGGGCGGGGTTTATATTTGCCCTTTTTTTCTTAATATACGTACTATTCTTTGAACAACACGACACCCAAAAACATGTTTTTAATTTTTTATAAAGAAATAAATATATTGCAGTTAAGCTCCACCTTCTTGATTCACAGCGAATAAAAATAATCATCACAATAGAGAGAGGGCGGGTGGGGGGGGCTTACATTTTGTCTTTTTGTTTTATTATATGTAGACTTCTTTTCACAACATGAAATTTAAAGTATGTTTAAAATGGTAAATTGTATAAGGAAATATCGATTTTGCAATAAGGCTCCGCCCCATAATTACGAAATCTATATTTTCTTACAAAAATATACCATTTTAACCATGTTTTAAGTTTCTTGTTGTGAAAAGATAGTCATGTATGTTATAGAAAAAAGGCAAAATATAAACCCCGCCCACCCACCCTATCTCAATTCTGATTATTTTTTTTTATTCGTCGTAACCCGAGGGGCAGAGCTTAACTGCAAAATCCAGAATTGTCTAAAAAATTTACCACTTTAAACATGTTTTAAGTTTCTAAGAATAAAAAAAAATATCACAATTGAGATGGGGTGGGTGGGTGGGGTTTATACTTTCCCTTTTTTTCTTAATACTTGCACATAGTATTCTTTGAACAACACGATTCTCAAAAACATGTTTTTAATTTTTTGTAAAGAAATAAGTATCTTGCAGTTAAGCTCCGCCTCCTTGGTTCACAGCGAATAAAAATATATCATCACAATAGAGACAGGGCGGGTGGGCGGGCTTACACTTTGCCTGTTTGATTTATTATGTTTACACTTCTTTTCACAATATGAAACTTAAAACATGTTTAAAATGGAAAATTTGTATAAGGAAATATCTCTTTTGCAATTAAGAGCCGCCCTATAATTGCAAAATCAATATTTCCTTGTAAAAATGTACCATTTTAACCATGTTTTAAGTTTCTTGTCGTGAAAAGATGGCCATGTATATTAAGAAAAAAAGGCAAAGTATAAGCCCCGCCCACCCACCCTATCTCAATTCTGACTATTTTTTTTTATTCGTTGTAACCCGAGGGGCAGAGCTTAACTGCAAAATCCATATTTGTCTAAAAAAGTTACCAATATAAACATGTCTTAAGTTTCTTGTAACATTTTTTGAGTACCTTGTTATTCAAAGAATACTATGCTATACGCATACCTGCCCTGATCTAAATAGTAATGGAGTTTTCATTCGTTGCTAGACCGAGGGGCGGCGTCTAATTGCAAGATTTATATTTTCCTATAAAAATTCACCATTTTAAACATGTTTTAAATTTCTAAGAATGAAAAAAATGATTACAATTGCGATGGGGTGGGTGGGCGGGGTTTATATTTTCTCTTTTTTTAAAAATATTTATACATAGTATTCTTTGAACAACACGATACTCAAAAATATGCAGTTAAACTGCGCCTCCTTGGTTCACGGTGAAGCAAAAAATTGTCACAATTGAGAGAGGGTGGGTGGGCGGGTTTACATTTTGTCTATTTATTTTAATATACGTAGACTTCTTTTCACAACATAAAACTTAAAACATGTTTGAAATGGCAAATTTGTATAAGGAAATATCGATTGCACAAATAGGCTCCGCCTCATAATTGCAAAATCCATATTTCCTTGCAAAAATGTACCATTTTAGTCATGTTTTAAGTTTCTTGTGAAAAGATGGCCATGTATATTAAAGAAAAAAGCAAAATATAAGCCGCGCCCACCCGCCCTATCTTAATTCTGATCATTTTTTATATTCGTCGTTAGTGTGAATTATGTTCTTAAGTAATCGTGTTATTCAAAGAAAACTAAATGTGTTAATTAAAAAAGAAAACCAAAAGAAAATCCCCACCCATCCGCCTCGATCTCAGTCGTGATGAATTTTTCATTCGTTGTCAGACCAAGGGGCAGGGCATAATTGCAAAATCGATATTTCCCTATACAAATTTACCAT